AAGGTAACAGGATAAAAGATCAATATACAAATATCAACTGTATTTCTATATACTAGCATTGAACAATGTGGAAATAAAATTAAAACAACATTTTATTCATAAAGCACAAGAAAGACTTACTACATAGCTATAGTAGCTATAAAGAGGGGTACTGGCATAAAGACAGACATAGCCATCAGTGGACTACACTGAGAACCCAGGGACCTCACAGTGACAGTCAGCTGATTTTCAACAAGGATGCCAATGTGGTTCAATGGAGAAAGAACAGTCTTTTCAACAAAGGTGCTGAGTCAATGAATAACCACATGCAAAAGGATGAATGTGCACCCCTGTCACACTATACACAAAAATTAACTCAAAATGGATGACAGACCTAAATGTAAAAACTACAACTAAAAAATTATTAGAAGAAAACATAGGAGTAAATCCTCATGAACTTGCGTTAGGCAAGTTCATCTATCTTCTTAGATGTGACATCAAGAATACAAACAGTAAGAGGACAAATTGGGAAACTAGACTTCATGAAAATGAAAAATGTTTACACTTCAAAAGACACCATCAAGTAAGAGAAAAGGCAAGCCAAGGCTGAGAAAATATTTGCAAATCCTGTATCTGGTAAAGGACTGGTATCCAGAAAGAGAAAGAACCCTTGTGACTCAATAAGACACATGACCCATGTCAGAAATGGGAAAAGATCGAAATAGACATTTCACCAAAAAAAATACAATGGTCAACAGGAATATGAAAAGATGTTCAACATCCTTAGGGACATGCAAGCCAAAGCCTGTGAGACACCCCATCACATTCACTAGAATGGCTATCACCAAAAAGAAATGCAATGGCAAGTGTTGAGGAGGGTCTGCAGAAGCCGGACCCTCAGACAATGCTGGTGGGATGGAAGATGGTGCAGCCAATTTGGAAAAAAGTTTAGCAGTTTCTTAAAATGTTGATCACAGATTCACATATTACCCAGAAATTCCATGCCGAGATAAAGGAACAGGTGTCTAACGTGTCTACATAACGACTTGTGTGTGCATATTCATAGCTGCATTACTGCAATAACCAAAAGGTAGAAATAAATGTCCATCAATGAAACAATGGCTAAAACAAACTGTGGTATACGCCCACAATGGAATAGTAGCCAGCCATAAAAAGGAATGAAGTATTGGCACCTGCTGCACAGAGATGAACCTCATAAATATCATACTAAGTTAAAGAAACAGAAAAGATCCAAAAGACCAGATTGTCTGATTCCTGTTACACAGAAGAGGCAAATCTATGAACATGGAAAGCTGAGCGGCTGCCTAAGGTGGAAGGTACAGATGGAAGTGACTGCAAATGACGTGAGGTTTCTTTCTGGGTGATGGCAATGCACTGACGTTAAGAGTGTGATCATGATCCACAACCCCGTGAACACACCAAGTGTTGCTGAGATATACAACTAACATATCAGCAATTACGTCTCAAAAAGTGGTTGTTGTTGTTGTTGTTGTTATGTGCTGTCGAGTCGGCCCCGACTCA